CCCCCTCCACCGTCCGATCCATTTTGGATCTCACGCCGGAGAGTTTTGGGGTATATTAGCTCTAAGTCCTCCACCGCCCAATGGGGGACTTGAGAATTTGTTTTAATGCCGTACCAATAGGCATCAACCTTAAGTAAGCTTGTGCTTACTTTGGACTGTACCCTCCTCATCCTCTGGGGGAGGTAGAGAGGGGGGGGGGCGCATGGCCTCTATTTTTCAGGGGGGGTTCGGGTATGGGTTGTGGGTCAGGTCTATGTGTACTGNCTTAGGTAAGCTTGTGCTTACTTTGGACTGTACCCTCCTCATCCTCTGGGGGAGGTAGAGAGGGGGGGGGGCGCATGGCCTCTATTTTTCAGGGGGGGTTCGGGTATGGGTTGTGGGTCAGGTCTATGTGTACTGCATTCTCGAATCGTCCCCTCACTATAGGTACTGTGGATTTTCAGTATACAGCTATCCTTACTCAACGCGTCTATGTGTCCGGCAATCTCCAGTACAAAATCGACCTCTGAGGTTTCAGTTGCAGCTTCCTTCCCTCAATGCGTTTATGTGTCCGGCAGTCGCAAACGTCACTCACCCGTTAGGTCTCAATATGCAGCTTTCCTCACTCAAAGCGTCCATGTGTCTGGCAAACTCAAAAACCAATCCATCTGTGAGGTTTCAGTATGCAGCTATCCTCACTCAACACGTCTATGTGTCCGGCAATCTCCAATACAAATCACCTGTGAGGTTTCAGTATGCAGCTATCCTCACTCAACACGTCTATGTGTCCGGCACTATCCAACATCACTCAACCCGTGGGGTTTCAGTATGTAGCTACCCCCACTCTGCGCGTTTGTGTCTGGCGAACTCAAAAACCAATCCATCTGTGAGGTTTCAGTATGCAGCTATCCCCACTCAACGCGTCTATATGTCTAGCAAACTCAAAAAACAATCCATCTGTGANCAAACTCAAAAACCAATCCATCTGTGAGGTTTCAGTATGCAGCTATCCCACTCAACGCGTCTATGTGTCTGGCAAACTCNCCGTGGGGTTTCAGGATGCAGCTATCCCCACTCAACCCGTCCATGTGTCTGGCAACCTCCATCACAAATCACCTGTGAGGTTCAGTATGTGTCTATCCTCACTCAACGCGTCTATGTGCCCGGAACTCCGACATCACTCAACCCGTGGGGTTTCAGGATGCAGCTATCCCCACTCAACCCGTCCATGTGTCTGGCAATCCCAAACCTCACTCAACCCTTGGGGTTTCAGTATACAGCTGTAATCACTCAACACGTCTATGTGTCCGGCAATCTCCTACATCACTCAACCTGTGAGGTTTCCGTAAACAGCTATCCTCACTCCACTCATCCATGCGTCACGCGTTTTTGGTAGCGAATAACTTTGGGGGCTATATTTGGGGTGGCGTGTTTTACAGCGCATTGCCAACAGCGCCAATCCACTTAAGTCTAGAACGGGGGAAGGTGTTGAAAACAGTAGATTCCAAACGAAAGTCAGGCGATCCAACGGAACAGGCTGAAGAGGGAGAAGCTTCAGCGACTGGGGTAGCCGCAGTCCGTGATGATGTCTGCGAAGGGGACATCGTGAGGGGCGAAGTCCCGGGCGAAACCTGTACAAAAGGCGAAACCGGGGACGCAGGGCGCTCCGATGACGGCGAAGACAACGGTGACACAGGGGCAATCGACGAAAACGCCGATGCCGGCGTCGCGGATGGCCGCAGCAGACGCGCGACGGTTCGGATGGTCTTGTTTGTCGAGCGGGACCTGCTAGAGCGACGAGCAGATGACGATGTCCGAGGGACGATGTTAGCCCGCGGCTGGCGTCCGAAAAAAGCGGGAAAGGTGACGGTGCCTCCGGAAGCAGCGGTAGTCTTGGCCCGAGTCCGTGAAGACATGAGCGGTCCCCGCTCCGGAAGGGAAGACAAAACGTGCACATATCTAGTCGCCAAAGACGCGACAGGAGACATCACGCGGGACGCAGCAGGAGTCAAAGGGGAAACAGGCCCTGGGTTTCCGGGAACAGGCGAAACGATGAAAACCCCCGGAGACCGCCGAGAATCCTCGCAGGCAATCGTTGAGTCCGTCAGAGCATCCAACCGACGTTGGTGATGTCGGCGAAAATCCCCAAAATCGGAGGGCTGGAGCGCTGGGGGCGAAGAGACTCCCGCCGGGCAAGGAGGGCGGAGCCCACCCAAACCGACCTCCGGCGCAGACGACGAGTGATAGTTGCGCCCGCAAGCCCGAATGAGGAAAACACCCGCATGATCAACACCATTAATGCAGTCGGGGCCGGTTTTGTCCGTGTCTTGTGCTGGTAAAGGCAGCCGCGAAAGAAAATCCGCGCTGCCGTTTGCCGAACCTTTCCGATATTTTAGGGTGTAGGTGAAGTTGGATAGAAATTCGAGCCATCGTTGCACCCTATCGTTGTGTTCCCCAACCTTGCCAATGCTCTTCAAGGCTTTGTGGTCCGAATGGATGATGAACTTGGCCGACCAAAGATAACCGCGAAGGCGTTTGATGGCCCAAACAATGCCACCAGCCTCCAGATCCAAAACGGTTCAGTTACGCTCCGCAGGAAGAGTAGCGCGACTGATGTACACAATGGGTCTCATCGAGCGATCGAGTTGTTCTTGTTCCAAGGAGGCGCCAAAGCCGTCGATACACACGTCGGAACACAAACGGAGCGAACGGCTGCTGTCCTTGACCGCTGCCTAATCCGGGAAGACCAAAATCGGGGACGAGCGAGTTCGCTTTACATCGTTTTGACAACCTTGACCACGCCCGGAGTGTACTTGAAGGGAACGCTTTGTTTGAGAATAGAGTTGAGAGGCCGCACCTTGGTGGCGAGATTCTTGAGGAACATCCGGTAGTAACTGAGTCCACCGAGAAGGCTCCGAAGCTGCTTAACATTCGTCGGCGGCAGCATGTGCGTGAGCGCCCTAACCTTGACGCCATCAGGGCTAACAACGGCCGGAGAGATGGTGTGACCGAGGAAGTTGGCGTGTGTGGCGCCGACGCGAGCTTTCCCCGGGGGCAGTTTGAGGTTATACTGTCGCAGCCGTTTGAAGAACCTTATCGTGCTGAGCACTTGTCCCAAAGGTTCCTCATCGAAACAGATGACATCGTCCAGATACAAAAGCACACGCTCCAGACCGTGCACCACTCTGTTGATGACCTTGACGAACAAAGACGGACTTACGTTGGCTCCCTGCGGCATTCCAAGCCATTCAAACATCTGCGTGGGAGTGCAAAAGGCGGTGAGTGGGACAGTGTCTTCATCGCAAACGATCTGGTGGAAAGCCGAGTTGAGGTCGAAGATGGAGAACACTTTCCCGGGTTACTGAGAATCCAAGATACCGTCCTTCCGAGGGAGAGGTTGTCCATCCAAATCCACCAGGGCGTTGAGACGCTTGTAGTTGACGGTGATGCGAACCGATCCGTCCTTCTTGGGGATGACCACCAAAGGAGAAGCCCAAGGAGACGTGGAATGCTGAATGAGCCCTGCCGCCAAGTACTAGTCCAAAATGGCATCCACTTTCTTTTGTATCAACGGGTTGATACGATACGGACGTGATGCAACGGGCTTTGTCCCTGCGGGGACAAAAAGAGTGAACGGCATGATGGTGCAGGAACCAGAATCGGTTTTCGAAGTAGAGAACACATCAGAATACTCAACAAGGGCGTCGGCCAAACGATCGATAGCCTCCGGTGTCAATCCCGGATTGTGTAGATCGAAAGCGATGTCGTGCATATTTGCGGGCAGCCTAGCCCACAAGCGCATGAAGCTGGAGCGCTGTGCCTTAGAGAAGCGGTCAAGTAGTTCTTGTGGAGGCGGCTTCCGGGGAGGCGGGGCGGAGGCGGGGTCCGGAGAGCGGTGAGTCCCGGACTTGAGGCCAACGACGTTGACCCGAGGTGGTGATGTAGAGGTTGTGGGACCGGTAGGAATCGAAGATGGTGCCGCCTTCAGGGTTTCCACCGGTACTCGTAGTAGCGGCGCGGCAGACACTCTAATAACGTCTCCCGGGTCCAGCTCGGCACAACTTGCAAGGGGAATACGTTGGAGACCATTGGAAACGAACTCATCTGGGAACGAAAGCGCACCCACTTCGGGTTTGAACGATACCAGATACTCTCCAATCAGCGCAGGCATGCCAGAA